AAGTGGGCTTTTGAGTAGGTTTTGCTATGAAGGGAGAGATCTTTTAATTGGGTTCGGGTTCGGGTATAGGAGGTAAAGGCGGAAGGTTGGAAGAAGAGTTTGTCTGGCTTGAGGTATCAGGCCAAAGCGAGTCGGCTGAGGGTTCGGTGATGGAGAAGAGGAAGAAAGCAGGGTATGGGATTTTGAAGGCTCTTCTCTTGCAGCTAGGAGACTAAGAAGAGCAGGAGATGAGTTTGGGGCTTTCGACTTATGAAGCTCGACGACATGAAGGTGTTCAATACAGGAGGTCGGAGGGCTTGTGGTCATGTGGAGGTGTCGTGTGGAGATCAAGAAGAAGAAGACTCAGATGGAGGGGTCGAACGGATCTACGTCTAGGTAGGGAGAAAGCCTTCCCTCTCTCTCTCTCTCTGGACCGAGAGAATTGAAAGATTGAGGCTTGGATCTTGCGGCTTTGGTGGAAGGATCAAGTGGACGCCAGAGGATCTCGACAAAAGGTAAGATCGAATGGGGCTAGAATTTCGATTTGGGATCCAGATTGCAGGGTCTAATGGTTTGGAAGATACGAACGGCTTCAGTGGTTGGAAGCGATGAGATGGGGGAGATCGAACCAGCAACAGGAACTTTCGAAGAGAAGAAGTCAGATGGGGCTGCGGGATTTTTGAATGTGGAGAGCGATGAAGAAGCGAACATCTTAGCCTCGTTCTCATTTTAACGGAGATGGCAAAGGTCGTTCGAAAGAAGAGCCGCAGGATATCCGAGAAGCAATAGCGGTTGCAGCGGAATTCGCGGATGTCTTCGACGGATATGAGATATGTATGATTTTATCTGGGATTTCGGGGATCTGCAAAGTGTGCAGATATGATGTGAAAATTCTTATACTTCTTTTTTTTTGTTTTCACAGTAGATTTTAACAAGCCACAACATCTCTAACGCTTTTTTTTTTTTTTTTTGTGAGCCCTTCAGCAACAGTCACAGCACAAACAGCCCCCACAAAGACCAGCCCTGAATCTTGCATCCAGAACTAGTGCAGTTTTCAAATTTCTACATGTTTGAATCTCCAAACAGCTGCAAGAATTTCAAGAACAATCACCTTCCACCAGCCACAAATCCTTCAGCCTCAAGAACCATACATTCCACATTTTTTAGCTTCAGAAAACACCAAATTTCTCGCCATATCACTCTCTTGCTGCTTGTCAATTGAACTGCAGCCATCTAAAATTGAATACCTGCAGTTTACAAGAACAGCCGGCCCTCCACCCGGCCAAACATCGACCAATTCAAGAAGCTGGGAACCTCTGTCTCTCCTATCCTACAGTCTACAAGCTGCTGATTTCCATTTCTTTCCACTGCAAACTGAATCAAACCTTCAGATTCTTTCAAGGGCGCATCAGGTATTGATTCTTGTTATCAAGAACCACATCTTTTATTCCCTTTCAGCAGCCACCAAAGACACGTCAAGATGAAAAATGTAGATTTGGTAGAAGCTCTCCGAACAATGCAAATCAACAAAGAATTATGATTCTCCAAAATCCAAAAATCTCTACAACAAGAAAATGTCAATTTGCCTCCAATGGCTCATCACTTCAACAATTTCAAGCTTTCATGCACTCTTTTGACAAAAAAAACTTGATAGATTGTGCATTGACTGCCCACCTTCTCCACTCCATAAAGATCATTCCTCCTCCAATGGCATCCTTGGTTCCACCGATCAAATCCATTTTCCATAGCTGCCACTATCTCCTACAAGTTTCTCTTTGATGAGGACATCAGTCAGAGATTTCGACACGTGTACCATTGGAGACACCGGAGATCGACGGCTACGATCAGGAGCTTATATTTTTGAGTCATTTTATGTAGTAGTTTATTTTATTTTCAGATTTTACTGTTTTACCCTTATGGGTGGTCATTTGATGTTGTAGCCCCGAGGGCATTTTAGTTTTTGTTTCTTTTCTTTTTGGTGAGACCTATATATATATATGTGTCATTTCTATTGTATTCGGGGATGATGATTATTGATATGAAAAAAATTTCAGCTTTTGCTCATGATCTCTTTGTGAGTTGTAGAGGAGAGGAGTAGCCTTGGAGAGGCTCACACAGACTACCCAACAGCCCCATTCGTGGGAGCTCTTGGTTCTTTTTATTTTCTTTCTTTTCTTCCCGTTTCTCTTAGCCACCTCCCTCTTCCCTTAGCCGCCGGATCCCGCCCTCCATCACTCGCCCGACCCAAATCCCCCACCCCCCTTCCACCTGAGCCAACAACAAGCCGCTGGCCCCCATTCCGCCGGCCCCCATTGAGTCCCACCCGCCGGCCAACCCAAGGCCATGCCTTCGAATTTGAATTTTCTAATTTTCATTTAGGAAGTTTCCTAGTTGAAATTCAATTTGAAATTTGAATTTCAAATCCCTCCCTAAATGATAAACCCAATTAGGAAACTATTGAACTCTAATCAAATTTGAATTTAATTCAGAATTTGACTTAATAACTTATTCAATCAAGTGGGCCCCACTTACATTGAGCCTAGACACAAAATTTAAATCCTCACTGACCCCCCCCCCTCTCTCTCCACTTTGCCACCTAGGCAACATTTAATCCCTCCCTAAATTCCCTAGTAACCGCCGACCCCATTAACCCTCAATTGGGTTGATTTTAATTTCAAATTGGCTCTCCCTCTCTAATGAAAATTTGAAATTTAGACTTCAAATTTTTCCTCTGACCTTCTACCCCAAACCACATGGCTTAACCCAAAAGAAATCCTAACCCTAGCCGCCCCTCACCCTCCCCAAGTCATCTCCCATCATCCTCACAAATCTCAAGCATATTCTTCTCCAACCGCCACCAACGCTATGCATGGCCGATCCAGAAGTCGACCATGGCTTCTTATATAATGATCAAGGACGAACAAACATTCTCAAATCTCATTTCTTCGACGTGAATCTAGACATGGATGCTTCCGTGGGAGATTATTTAAATCGCATCATTTTCACGTTGGTACCCTCCATCAAAGAGCACATTCCTATCGGGCGTTGGATACTCACTAGTCAACTCGTGGATTCCCCGCAGCCGGCCACCTCTCCAACGAACTACACCTTGGGCATCATTTGTCTTCTAGTGGCATCGTTAAGCTTGTTCTCAATCTTCCTCCACTAAAGTATTTCCACCACTAGTGTGAGTGAGGGACTCAAGGTGAGCAAATCTCTTTGTTAAACCGTGGATTAGTGTTTTCGCCGTAACATTACTTTCTTTATTTAATGTTGTTAAATTGTAAGCCTCTTGTTAATCTAGTTGTAACCGCATGCCTTACATAATTTCTAATTGATAATTCTAAAAGCCTAATTTGGGAGAACAAGAAGTCTATAACTAGTAAAGCTTTAGTAATCAAATATTAGCATCCCTAAACAGTTATTCTTTACGTGCATGGTTTCACATCACTCTTTCTCTTAAATCAATGAAAATTGAACTTACTCACTTTAATGGATTCGACGTTGAAACATGGACCTTTAAAGCACAAGAAAACTTTGATTTTCAAAACACTCCAGATTATCATCACGCTAGCATAGCTTCATTTCATCTTGAAGAACTTGCGGCTACTTGGTACCAAGGGTTATGCACAAAAATTCTTTATGTTTCTTTTCTATCTCTCAACCTTGAGGATAAGGTTATTTTTCACACTCTAGATTATCATCACGCTAGCATAGCTTCCTTTCATCTTGAAGAACTTGCAGCTACTTGGTACCAAGGGTTATGCACAAAAATTCTTTCTATTTCTTTTCAATTTCTCAACCTTGAGGATAAGTTTATTTTTCACAGTGATGGGAGTGTCAAACAACAATATATTCTATTGAATTCAAAGATAGTACAACAACAATGTCAAAAATGGATGAACAATTCAGAAAATCGATATCAACATAAGAAAGTATTTAAAGTCTATCATAGAAGAAGAGTGAAGCAAATCTTAAAAAGATTGGGAGCACTACAACAACCGATCGGCTACAACAACTTGTGGTCTAAACCGTTAACAAACCAATCCCAAACCGAGTTTTAGTTTTTTTATTTTACTTATATGAAACTAGCTGGTCTAAACCTTTAATAATAACTAGTTTATGTAAACACTACAAATAAACCTTAAATGCTATAATTGAATTCATGAAATAAGATTTCTAGTTTCTCCCTTTCTAGTCTCTCTTCTTCTTTAAGGAGTCCACACCTACTCAAAAGACGTCTTCCCCCTTCTTGATGTAGATCAAGAAGCATATCAAAGTTTCATAAATTTAATAAGAAAATGTCTAGTATTACAAGTCATTGTTCAGGGACTAAAAACATTTCTCACGAATCTAAGATAAAATCAAGGATTGCATTAAAATGCATGATCTTTTTTATTAGTTATTTTGGTTCTTATACGAAGGAGATATATTTCAGTGTATGCTATTTGTAGATGACATTATTATGATAGGTGAAATCTATTATGAAGTGAATAATTAGAATAATAGATAAAATATTTAGAAACTAAGGAATGCAGGATTAATATAATTATGAAGGATATGTAGAAAAATTCGGAAGAATGCCGAAACAAAAAGATTATCTAACAAGAAAAGTGGAAGTAGCAAAGATTTAAGATAAGGCTGTACACGATTTGGACGCTCTTGAGAATATAATATATACAAATTAGAAAAGGATATATAATTATTTTTGGTAGGAAAAACAAAGGAATTGTGTAAGCTAAAGTAAATACTATCTCTGTCATTCAAAATGAATGAATGGTGGAAGAAGGAATCTTAAAATTGACCTCAAATAAATTGGATGATGAAATGGGGATACAAATAGCCTAGAATTAATTCACTTCTCAATTTGAGTGAGATCCTCAGCTGATGCATCCTTAATTGCTCACAATCCTTTCAATACCCAGTGAAGTGAACAGATTCAAAATAAACTGAATTAGTAAAAGATGGCATGCCCACAATCAGATTTATTTTATTAAAAATATATATGTCAAGGCATCAACCTCATGAAAATGAAACCTCCGCCGATGTTTTACAATCCCTTCAGTTGCCGAGTAAAACATGTCCATCAGCATTGTCTTACCTGCATAGTGCAGCAAACTAAGATAATCACAACAGCTGTCATACATAGTGATTATCGAATCTGCCTTAGTATTGAAAAGATAGGACAGTGTGATTGTTTTAAATAATAAAAGCAGAAAAAAAAAAAGAGTCTAATATCAAAATTAATCGTAAAGCAATCCTACATAGAGTTTATAAACTAAATCTCGTTAGATAAAATTATATGTTCAAACAGAAAAATCTACATCTGATGTAATTTATAAGATGAAATCCAACTCCTGAGCATAAGAAATATGCTATCAGATCTTTAAAGCCTATCGTGCATGTTTCAATGTGTCAGAATGATAACGCACCACTCCCAACATTTCCATACAAATAAATTCCTTTCGGAGCTTGAGGAAGAACAGGCCGTTCTCCGGCTAGTGAATCAATCTTCCTCTCCCGATTAAGATATGAGACCATTCTTCCAACTCCAGGTTCTGGATTCCCTCTTCTCCTCCTGAGCCATTAAGCATAAATTTTAACGAAATCTACAAAATTGTAGCTAAAAGAACACAGAGTTAATGATACGAACCTTTCTTCAGAAAGACAAAAAAAAAAACCTAAAAAAAACGAGTGGCATTTGACGGCAGAAGAAATTCAAGCAGATCCCGTCTGGTAGGATTCAAGTGAAAAGAATTTTACACATAATTATACCTCTCTAGAGACCTTAAAAACGATAACTAAATCAGAATAACCAAGCTGAAACTGTATAGACCTGATCTTCTATTAGAGGGTTTCGCCAAATCCTTCTGAAGATCAAAAGTTGAATTCCAAATATAAATATACCTCTCAAGCACATGATCATGTCTCCCTCCAAGGTTTCCATTTAAGTTTGACAACGTAAGTCATTAATTTTTTATAAAAAATTACAGAATTTGTTCACATTTTTAAATGTTCATAAAATGGAAAACTGCTGCGTCCAGATATAATTCTCAAATTTACATTAATAGTGCTGATTTGGGCAATCAAAAATATTAAATCAAAGGGCATTTAGAAAAGGCAGCCCTTTGCTGTTATAATCCTTAACAACAAAAATAATTTATCAGCCGTACGAAAAAAATAACAGAGAATAAAAATGCAAGTCCACGATGAATGGCAATTCCTTTTCAAATAAAAATTGCTATGATACCATTTTTTTTTCGAATCATAGAAGCAGGAGAAAACATAATGATTTTGGCAATGCAAATTGGTACCATTTCTACGGTTTTTCAAGGTCATAAGGATGCAGTTGGCCTGCAGCAAAAACAATAAAATAAATTGGATAAAATCGGGCATGATTTTAAAATTGGACTTTGGTTTCAGTTTCATGCTCTTTTATGTTAGTTTTTTTTCAGTGATGGATATGATAATTTATATATTTGCAGAATATTCAAAATTTTAACATAAAATTCAGAAATTAAATGTGAATATCTTAAATTAAAATTGATGATTTTACAAATAATGATAGATAACCCCACCGTCTCAAACTGTGCAGAAATCATTGTCAAGTGAGTATTCCATATTAAAGACATTAAAACATACTATAACTTCACATATATTCGCTTGAAAAAAGGTGCAATGAAGAAACAGGGTGAAAAATCCTAGAAGTTCAACATAGTCCACCTTAGCATCCATCTCTCCAAAAACCAACTTTCTCTGTAATTTGATCTTGTCCATTCACCATCTTTATGCCTAAGTTCAGCTTCTTCCAACATAAGCCTGCGACTCTCATTCTCTCTAACATTTTCCCAGTTAGCAAGCTTTTTCTGCATCAAATACAAATTTTAATACCAAAACAAATAGCTCTAGATTTACTAAGTTTTAGAGAATATACAATCCCTTACGGCTACTCTAGAAACTTACATGATACTCTTCCATCTCCTTTTCATAATGCTCCAGTCTGAGAAGTAGATCTTCAAATTCCATAGCTACCTTTTCTTGAAAAGTGTCATGCTGAAGCTTCCCATCTTCAACCATACTCTTGTAAAGAACAAGTGGACCTTTCGCGAGCATAACATTGAAAATAAGAAGCATTAACTTGAGAAATAAGTTTAAGATCATATTTAAAACATACAGTATTTAGATTCAACTTCTCGTACCATATTCATAGTTACAAACAGAAGGAAACAAAGAAAAAAAAAAGGTTAAAACTACAATAATTAAAATGGAATAAATTATACCAAAAAAACAAATGTTTTGCAATTACAAATTGCCAAGTAAAGTGAAGGATGAAATGCTATGCATGACTTGATAACGAACTAACTTAAAAGTAACAATGAAAAGTTGAAAACAAATTATTCCAGGCCAGCTTCAAGCTATATTTGTGCCAATTTTTTAGACATTGAAAGGAAGCATGGAAACCGTCTAACAACAGGTACGATAGAAGAAGTGTAATAACTTAGAATTAAATTAATTTAAAATAATAATAATAATACTAATAATAACAATTATTATCAATTAATATATAAATTAAAAGGATTTAAATAAAAATTAATAACAACTATTATAAACATACATCTTAATACATATCCAAATCGACACTTGTCCCCATAGGTGTTGTTTGATTATTACAAGTTGCAACGACATATGCTCCTCTTAAAAATAGAGGGCGAACAAGCAAGCAGCGTGAATTTGCTAGGGCAAAGGTGAAGTACATAAGTGTACGAGCGAGGCTGAACGCACTACGCGTGCATTAGAGAAGTCAATTGCAAGCAGGAAGCCGCACGTGCTAAGCCAATTGTCGAGCGCACATAGGGGCTAGTATATCCAGTATAGTAGGTTTCATCAACACCGAAAAGCTTAGATTTTTCTTCCTTTATCTTTCTCAAGCGAAGTGGTAAGTTTTTCTCAATATATGTTCCCAAATCCTAAATTTTTAGGCTTAGAGATATTCCACGGGCTTAACAGTGTTGTTGTCAGGTCTCAAGTCCTGAATGAGAAAAGTGAAGAGCAACATTAGGTAGTCCACAACCAGCGTAAAACTTGTCAAAATAATCATGACATGAATCATTTAGTACATTGTTTTAATGCTAGGTCGTTCCCTGAAAGTGACACATTGTATGGCCTAAAAATCACGACAAGTGTGTAAGGGCCACTGCATCGACGTTCGATTAGATGTCGGATAGCCCCTTACTGCTCACATAATTCAATTCAATAACCTCTCTTCTACTAGCCATGCTAGCACACTCTAGCTCCCTTCAAACCACCAGATTGCAGCTTGTTGCCTCTTGAAGATGCTTGATAACCTGCTAGCTGCTCCCTACAAGATAAACAGATGCTTCACCGCTTGACCCCTGCCAAACATGCCTATGCATTCCATATAAGGCCACAAATACACTTCCACCTACCTCTTTTAAGCAAGTCCTTCCATGCAAAGCTGCTAGCTATTGCCATGAAAGAGCTTGCACTTTAGCAAATATTGCTAAACATACAACTTAAGATATAAATTGTTTACACTTTCTATCATTTGTGAACATGAACATATGCAGTTTTTTCCCTTCATATTTTAACAATATCCAACCAGGATAACTACATTAAGGAAGCAATAGTATCTTCCAAGCCTATTCCACATTAAAAGGTTTGTGCAGTCCTTGCTACAAAATTCTTAGTTCGCATGCGATGCAAAAGAAAAAAATTAACGTCCAAGCAGCTGTTTATTTTCTCGTCATAAAATAACACGGAAATGTCTCCCTCAAAACTATTTGATCAAGAAAATTCTTTTGAAGAATATTTCAAAGGAATAAAAAGGCGCCATAGAAAGCTAAAGACAATAAAGAAAAAAAAAAGATAATGTAAAATAAGTATCAATGAGGAGGAACCCATGGCTTCCCAAAAATAAAGAAAAGATAACTTCCTTCAATGTCAGTTTATAGCTATAATATTCTGCTTGTACGAGCTCATAATGCACTTTTTTTAGTATCATATACAGTTTTCTGTTGTCATATAACAGTGCTCCAAGCTTGTCAGCACATAAAAAAGGTTACTTTGATTTCTTAAGATGCCCCTCTAATCATAGTTTGGCTAGCTGCATAAAATGGAATGGAATAATTTTATATTGTGTGAGTAGTACATTTAAGTTAGAACTGTTGCATCTTATTTCTTCTGTTGCAGGAGCAAGAACTGGAAAGCACATGGATCCAAAAACAGAATATCTATAACTAAATTGTCGAGTAATAGATATGCAATTGGAATCATAATGATTTTCTTTCAAAGGTGTAATGGACAGCATTCAGTTGGAGTGATAAATAACCATAGAACGCTTTATAAACTATGTGTAGTCAAGCTGCTATAAACACTTTTAATCTAAATAAACACATTGCTTCCCAAATTAAAGGAACTTCTGCAAGAATACTCTGCGTTCATCAACCTAGATATCCTTATAATTAACCAGCAATTTTCTCCTCGCATCCTCTGTACAAAATAATCTCTTTTTAATTTCCAAAGCATTTGGTAGCCTCGAAAACTTCCAATTTATCGTCTTGAAATAAACGGAGCCAAAAAAATTCTCATTTGACCAGCCGCAGGCAGGAACAAAATCACATGCTACAGCTAAACAAATTTTCGAATTGTACACCACAAGCCAAAAATATCAAACCGTGCAGTATGATACCGATGTTTTAGTATTCATAAGAAATCAAGTATCAACACTGCGCACGCAACACAACAACTGCAGCACCACTGCTGCTTACGCTTACCTTCGCCTCGAAAATAAATATCGACTGGATACATGAAGCAAAAGAAAACAAGAAGCCATCATAAATTTCAAGAGCCAATCTGAACTTGAGTGGGAAGAATGATACATTCATGATTCACCTGGATTTCGCCTTTCTGCGGAGGAATGAGATCGATCGCAGTAGCAACGAGCTCGAGTTGACTGAAGCGTGCAAGATCGGCGGCCTAGGGTTCCACCAGAGAGCGATCGGCATAGAAGCAAAGTAGCAGAGGAGATTACTCTCATGGTAGTGTGGGAAGGCAATGATACGGAAATGCGGCAGTTCTCGTGCCCGAAGAGGCACAAAGCAGCGCTCCCGCATTCTTTCGCTCGCGTGGCGGCATCATGATGGAGCCACGTTACGCCCAACCACGCCTTTTATATAGCGAGGCCAGACACGCTTTTTATCATCTAAGGTCATCTCCAACCGAACGCTAAACGAGTGTATGAAGTCGTTCCGTCGCTCCAACCGAACGTGAAAATTTCCTCCATTTAATCGCAGGTGAACAGTGCGACGTCAATATTGGCGTCGCACTGTTCACTCACGCCATTTTTTGCTCTCAACCGGAAAAACGTGCGAAAGGGAAAGCGATCGTTACCTTCTCAAAAACACCTAAAATGACGTTCGATTGGAGCATCACCGCGCCATTTTGGAGTTTTGCGTTACTTTGCCGTGAAAAATGAAGTTTTTCGGTTGGAGATGCCCTAAGGGCATCTACAACCTAATTCTAAGCATTTGAATGACGTCGCTCCGTAAAAGTTAGAAACTGGAAGTTAGAAACTAAGCATTTGGAAGTTGCCCCCGACCTCAGCTTCTCAAATTTGGAAACTTTTTTGCCGCACTGCTGCTTGCATCAACTCTGCGATTTCTTTCTCTGTGCACCGAAACTGTAATCTTTCTTTCTTATGGGACCCGTGGTGTGATAACAAGCCGGTTGCTGATAGGTTTTATTCCCCTAGTTTAGCTCATTCTTGGGTTAAAGACTTCATTCATCATAACAATTGGACTATTCCTGAATGTGTTCCTGTTAATGTCAAATCTATTATTTTGAACACTGTTATTGAGGAGGTGCAACCGGTGCTTTATTGGGATGGCTCTCCTAAGCCTTCTTCCCGTAATTTTATATCTCTACTTCACAGTAATTTGGAGGATGTGGTTTGGAGTAAGTACATTTGGCATAAAGGTTATGCTTTACGTTTTTCTTGCTTTGCTTGGATGACTCTGTTAGGGAAGTTAAAGACGGCTGATAATATCATTCTGAGAGGTATTACGGTGGATTTTGGATGTGGTTTTTGCTCTGGACATTTAGAAACGCATTCTCATGTATTTTTTGAATGTGATTTCTCTTTTTCTATCCTTACCGGCCTTTTTCCCTCCATGGCCACTTTCTATCTTAGACCAAATATTCTACAAGCATATGATTACTTGGGGAATTTGAGAATTCATGGCAGAAATGAATGAAATTTCTGCTTCCTTACACTGGTTGCTTTGGTTTACTTTCTATGGTGAGAAAGAAATAACATGAGGTTTTCTGGTGAATGGAGAAGTCCCACTGATTTAAAAAATGTTATCATTCATGCTATTCGTGCAAAAGTTAGAAACTGGAAGTGTTTGGAGAAGATCAAATCATTGTTTTTGGAAATTCTGGGCTAGCCGATGCGGAACTATTACAATGACCATTGTTAATTTGATATAAAGTTTTTTGGAGTTTATTTCTGGGAACCTGTTGGCCGTTTTCTTTGACCGTCCAGGCTTCTTTCTGATTAATATTTTTGCATGGAGAATTCTGCCCAACTTCTTCTTTGCTGGAATTTTGCAGTTGCAGTATTTTGGGACAATGATGTGCAGGTCTACATCTCTTACGCCTCCTAGGAGGGTCTTTTGGCAACTAGGATGGCGTTTTTCGGGCACTGTGAAGGCCCTGCAACTTAGGCAACCAGTGTCATTGTGGCTTTCGTGGTTTGTGGCTATTATGATGATGAATTTGATGTCTATGAGATGTAGACCGTTATCCTGAGTCCTTAGGATTTTCTTCCTTTTTTCCTGTATTCTGACTTTATCTTCTGGTCTTGGTATAGTTTTTCTATACTTGTAATTTTTAATTATTGTAACCTTGGTGATTAATATACGGGCTTTGCCCCAATTTTTCCCAAAAAAAAATGACGTCGCTCGTGAGCTCCAACCAAATGGTAAATCTTTTGTTATTTGGCTGCGCGTGAATAGTGTGACGTCAATATTGAAGTTGCACTGTTCATCTTCACCATTTTTCTGTCTCTACCGAACTTGTTGAAGAAACACGCGAAAGAAGTGAACGATCGTTATATTTGCAAAAGGGGGCAAAATTGAGTTCGATTGGAGATGAATCACGACATTTTTTAGTTTCACGACATTTTAGAGTGAAAAAATGAGATTTTCGGTTGAAGATGCCCTAAGTCCACTCAAGGTAAAATAATTAAAATTAGAATATATTAAAATTTTTTAAATTTTAACATTATTTTAATTTATATTTAAATTTCTTTTATTTTCAAATATTTATCTTATAATACTAAACATTTTATCTTATAGTTTGATATAAATCTTACCACGTGTTAGAATAATTACAATGCTAGACTAAATTGACATTTTAGTTTTATGTAAGGATCTAACACATATAAAATAATAGTGCTAGAACTGTAAGAAACATCATAGTTTTTTATATGGAAATTTCAAGAAAGGGAAAAATCATAGTGGTTGAAATGATTCCACTAGTGTTCATCATCAGTTACAAATAATATCTTTCAGTAGGAAAAGACATTGATTCAATGTAATAAATATATATTGTATATAACATATTGTGTGTCTGAATTTAAAAGAACTCGGTGGCATAAGAGTTGCCTTAAAAATATTGTTCACTTGGAAAATATTAGAAATGATCATTCTTTACTAGATTTAGACGAGAATTTGACTTTTAATAAGATACAATAGAGAAAAAAATTCATGTAGCCGACCCCACGTAGTGGGACGAAGACTTGATGTTGTTATTGTTGTTGTTGTTGTTGTTATGTTTAATCGTACTTCTTTTAGAAGAGTAGACTAAAGATTAAAATAAACTAACATAAATCTCAATGCTGATGTTGGGAGCGATTGTAAGTGATTAAGTGAATAGGCACTGATGGCATTTACTTTCTCTATGTATTAACTTAAGTCCAAAGAAAATTGATGGCATTTAAAATTTCTAATATACAAAAATTGCATCCCTAGTGGTAAATCTCCAATTTCATTAAGTCTCAAACACAAATCCTCCAAAATTTCCATATTATTAAATTGAAAAAACCTAGGCATTCTCAACACATAACCTATTAATCACAGGAAGCATCCATTAAGTTGGATCGCAAAATCAACACTAAGAGTATGAAAATACTAATCCTCAAATTCTCAAACATTATTATCGACACCTTCTAAGTAACGTTAATATTGATGAGTTAAAATCTTAGCCATAGAATACCCTTATTAGGATTAAGGCTAAAAGATCAAACCTAGGCTCTAATACTACTTTGTCACCCCCCGCCACTAGGCCTATAAGAAAATCATAAGAATCATGGTAAGGTGCAAGTTGAACAAAATTTATAAATTAATTATAAATCGATGGAATTATAAGACTTCGATAATTTGTATCCACCAATAAAATTATCAAAGCACTAACCCCAAAACACCTACCAAATATCAATCAAAATATAAATGAAATCAAGTTATACTCTTAAGTTGATTACATAATTTTACCTTAAATAACTCTCAAGATGAACATCAAGCATGAACCAAAAGCTCCTCCAGAAGTTGTACAAATATTAACCTGAAACCATGAAATGAAAGGTATAAGTTTTCAAGAAACAAACTCAATAGATCAAACCCTTATGAGTAAAATTTTAAAAATAAGCATTGGCATAAATATGAGCAAAAGGGTTGGCTCAAGAAAAATGGCACGAATGCACGAATCCCTCTTTGCAGCTGTAGGATTCCATTTCCCTTAAGTTAGATTAAAATTAACCAGATTTTCCATGAGGATAGTATCAGTGTTTAATTAGATCTAGGGCATTTACTTCCTATGAGCGCAAGCACTCATAGTTAATTACCCCTCTTACTACATAAGAGAGAACTCTCGATTAAGGATGAATAAAAATTTAGTTAAGTTTTAGTCTCAATAATGGGGAAAATGGAGGTAAACCCGATCAAGATCCCATGGTTCCGTCGTCCCGGGTATACCATAGATTTCAGACTACCAACACTAACAATTATTGACCATAGTGTATAGGGAATCTGATTAGCATTCATGGGTTGCCTCCTCTCAGGGATCCCGAGTAGACTAAAGTGGTTAAATGTGAGTTTTAATTTTAATTTTTTTGTTTGGTGTTTTGGGGTTTAGACCTATTAAAATACCCAAAGATTTATTTAGTTTGAGATTTATGACTTCGTCTAGAAGTAGTCCAGGAATATGATTTGGAGCGGGTCTTATGGCTTCTTTAGGAAGTAACCCAGGTATTTAAATTTAGGTTGGGACTTACAACTTTTGTAGAAAGTAGCCCGGGGATTTAATTTGGAATGGGGCTTAGTGCTCTATTTATGAGTTATCCAAAGATGGGTATTACAACCTAACTCTATAGCGAGGCTACCCAGAGATTTTAAATTTGATTTTTTTTAATTAGATTTGGATTTTATGGTCATTGCAATTCATTTAAAAATTCTCCTAAATGAGGGTCTTATAGCTTTCGTAGAAAGTAGCCCGAATTAGTGGGACTTACGACCTTTACTGAAAGTAGCCCAAATATTTCAAATGGGTAGGTCTTATTACTTCCTTAGAAGTTACCTAATGATGGGTCTTACGACTTAGCACTTTAAGCTAAGTGGCCCAAGTTGTGGGTCTTACAACCAAGTCCTATAGACTAGGATGCCTAAGTGAGGAATCTAGGGTCTTATTATCTCCTAAACATTTTCCTTAGAGGTCAGATTTATGACTTCTATTAGAAGTGGCCGGGGGTTTTAATTGGGGGTTAGGAGTTAGGTCAATTTTACCTAAAAAGTTCCCCTAAGATCGGACTTACTACTTTCCTACGAAAGTTGTCGGATAGTGGGTCTTATAACAAAGCTCTTATAAACAAGGCTGCCCAATATTTTAATTGATTGGTAGGACTTATGATTTTCCTTAGGAAATAGCCTAAAAAGGCGGGTCTTATAATTTAATCATTTAGATTAAGATGCCCAATAATTTGAATTATATTATTAGGGGTTGAGGATCATTTCTATTTATTTAACAATTTTCCTAAAATGTGGGTCACTTAGAAGTTCCCCGGAGATTTATATTTAGATTGG